ATAGATAGATAGATAGATAGATAGATAGATAGATAGATAGATAGATAATCAATATTAATAGATGACAGATAGATAGATGATAGATAACCAACATTAGCAAACTATAATCATTCTCAGCATCCCTTTGTTGAGTGCTCTGATGTTATTTGTGCATAGTTTCTTGAGTCCCATAATCTCTGATAAATTTCATCTTCATTGGCAATTTGTATATGCATGAATATACATCTCCTTGTAAGCTTCCATTAGGGAATGCCTGATCACCATAATGCTACACTAGATAAATCTTAGGCCAAGCCAGATTGGCTCTATCCTGTTCAAATGGGCAGAGATGTGTTGATACTCTTAATCAATAATGCAAGTTGCAAATCATTTTCTAGCTGCACATCTCAAACTGCAAGTACATTGGAATGTGCAAGGAAGCTGAGGTTCCTCTCAGCAGGATGCTTTGTGCCATAGAATGACATCATTCTCCCAATTGAGGCACAGGGGCAACCCAATTTGCTTCATTGAAGTGCTTGGCTTCAAAGTTAATGGTACTTTCATTAGCTGGAACAGATTTTAGTCATGTAATATTCAGCAACAGAAATCTCTTCCAGTTCCTGAAAGTGTTGGATGGTTGGATAATATTGAGTGTATCTTGAAAAAGCTTGCTTTCATATTATTCCATTTTTTATTTTTTGCCAGTTGTATGAAGGACCAATTCCAGAAAATTTATGGAGAAAGAAATTGCCCTTGTCAGTCTGGGAATAGTGAATCATTGACCCACATAGAGATACTCATAGTAAGCTGCTAACACCCCTCATTAGACCATTCTGTCAAAGACCAGATTAATTTTACATGAAGCTTCTCTTGGCAGACAAAGAGTCTAAAACAACACTAGCTAAGGCTGAATTTGCATTTGTATCTTACAGAACTCTGTAATTAGCGTGGGACCGATTACTGTTTCCATTAAGTGGGGTACCAAGTTTTCATATTGTTCTTATATCACTTTACTATATTTCATTGGACTTTAAATTGATATGCATGGTAGTCTGGGACTGGTCATAAAATAAGAAAGTAATACTGGATGAAGCATTTTTGCCTGAGCACCCTAAGACAGACACTCCACTTTGTTTCTAGAAGCAGAAGGGTTCGTACAGATGTGAACCGGTGTTTCCTATGAAACTTCCCCAAAGCAAAAAAATTCTCTTGAAACACTGAACAATCTTAGTGTGCTTTTTAAACTAGCATAGCCCTAATTCAAATACGTTGCATTTAGAAATGTACACTGCATTTCCCTGTGACCCAGATGCTAAGCTGAACTTCCCCACTGCTACCCCTCTTAACCTTGAACCCACTCCAAGAGCCACGGTTTATTTGTCCAACATCTTGCCTTACCATGTTCATCACCGTTAAGATATAGGTGGTAATGTTCTCCTTGCTGTGCTTCTCCAGCATTTTCCTATCTGCCACCACCAGGGTTTCAACATTCAAACTTCCACCCTTCTGATTTTTAATGGGGGATCTTTTCAATCTCACTTGGCTGCCATATTCGTCAGATAAGATGAATGTATTTTCAGTGGGTGGCTTAGGACTATCTGAAATGAAACAGAGCAGAGATTTGGAAAAGACTCAGAACTGATTTTGTTGTTGTTGTTGTTATTCTGTCCTAAGGTGTCGAGGAGCTAAAACCCTGAATAAATCTAGGAGATTACACAAAAAGGCTAAATGCCAATCAAAAGTTGCCAACCAGAGTCCTTTTCAAGATATGCTTGCTCAGTTTTTGGAAGTGAATGTGTTCTCCCGCAACACAAAGAAAGGTGAACTATCTTGAAATCAATATCTCTCCCTAATTTTTTTAAATTTGTCTACAGGAAACACACATTCATCAACCTCCAATAATTTCCTTCCTTTTTGTTTACAGCAGTGCTTTTCAATCTCAGGAACTTTAAGATGTGTGGACTTCAATTCCCAAAATTCCCTAGTCAGGTTGCTGGGAATTGAAGTCCACACAACTTTTAAGTTCCTGACATTGACAAACATTTTTCTACTGTATAAAAAAAACACAACAGTTCAAATGTTGGTACTGCTGTGCATGCATCCAGTCTTTTTCTTCTTAGTTGGGTGGCAGGCCAACCTGAGCACCAACAATTCCAAAACAGAGATACTGTACTGAGGGATAGTAGAGAATTGTGATAAGAAATAACACTGCAAGAAAGTAAAGTTTTAGGAGGTTTAGAAGAATAATGCTAGAAACATGTTTGCTACAAAATAAAGCCCATCTGGGCCAAATGAATAGAAATGCAAAGCATTCATCAAAATGGACCTCATGTTCGAGAGCCAGGTTTTGCAATGCTCCATCCAACATCATATTTAAAAATTAGCATCAAAACCATCCACTCTGCAGGATGAATCTCCTGTAAACTGTGTATTTTTCTAAAGAAAACTGATCAAGTTCCTGAGTTGGACCAATAAGACTTTGTTTCTATAGGATAACTGGGTCTTTACTGTTACCCCGTAAGTGCTTTTGGGAAACAGATTTTTTATTTTTTTTGTTTAGTCAGCAGTTCCTCTACATATAAAGATGCAGACATCAGTTGAATTTGCAATTAACAGTTGTGTGCTTAAATCTAACTACAAAAATAGAATAAATGAAACATATGCACATACACACTTTTTCCAAGATTTCTAGAAAGACACAGAAGAAAGCAGAGGGCTGAGAGATGGAGAAACAGCATAGAGATGACTTTATAGTCTCACAGCTTTTAGGCCGTAGACAGTAAAAGCACTACATCTTATTTTCAAGGCATAGGCTTAAAGCTCTCTTCAGCTGGAAATATAAGATCAGGAAAAGGTACCAATTTATGTTATTATTTTATTAATAATTTATTAAGAAATTTTCCAGGCTACCCTCTCTTGAGATCAGACTTGCCTTTGCTATTAAGGAGCAAAAAAGAAAAAAGAAATAATTAAAAAGAAAAAATAGTAATATCAAAGCATACACTGCATTGCTAAATGTATCCCTTAATACCTGCCTGTTTTATAGGAAGGAAGGAAGGAAGGAAGGAAGGAAGGAAGGAAGGAAGGAAGG